GGGGGTGTCTATTGAAGGTCCTAGATATGTGACAGTGGTTTTAGACAATGGTCATTATCAGGAAGGATCAGTATACACATGTTTGTTTGTTGTTCATTTGTACAACAGCTATAAAAATTATTCATAATACACTCATAATAAATAAAAACAGGTGCAGGAGGAGGGAGAAAAGCTTATTTAGCTTATGCTAAGCCCTCCTCCTCTATACTAACCAAAACTAAACATAATTGAAGTGAAATAATACATGCATACATAAGGAATTGTTATCGAAATAATTCAAACATGGGCAAAATGATACAATAACAATAACGAAACAGTAGTATACATAAATTGAGATGAAATGTCTCGTGAGAAAGCAAACGAACCCAGCTGCACCATCCAGAATCTCTCTTTTTTTCAGACATGCTAACGATAGAATCTAGACTGTACTCACCCTAACGCTCCCCCTGGTACAGTACTGGAAGAGGTAGCAGATGTTTGGACGCTCAGTGCAGACACCGATGAAGCGGTTCACATGCTCATTGTTGATGCCTTTCATCTGCAACAAACGGGACAAATTCAAAGATCTCTTTTGTTCTGGTTTTTGGAATAAGTAGCATCACCTCCTTTTTAGGTTTGTAAGGCACTGGGTGAAGAGACTTTTTTTTACACAACCAGTCAGAACAAGGTGACAGACGGTCAACGAAACGTCTGCTGAATAAAAGACTTGGTTGTGTAAAAGAGTCCCTTCACTCAGTAACATTACCTTTTAGCGTTTTTCCCGTGTAGGGGCTTGACTTGTGCGTGGTTTTTGTGTCCTTGGGTTCTTTCTTCATGTAAAACTAGCTCATGACCAAGATATATTTTTATTCGTACTTAATGTTCCGGAAGTCTCAGCAGTAGGAACCGATACTACCCGACCAGCCAGCGAGTTCCACTTAGATATATGGTACGGGGGAAAGTCAGTACTTGTATGTATCTGTCCGTGTGTTTATATATAGGGTGACACTTAGTTTCCGTTAGGCAGTGACCTCTAAACACTGCACAAGAAAGCTAATCTACTTCTTTCTTTTCTTCTTTGGGGGTTAAGGTAGCCAACATGCTGATGATTCTTCTACACTGTAAAATTGGGCTGTATAATTTTGGACTATCGCACACAGGGACATGCCCCTATATATTTTTGGAAGGTGCGGTGGGTTCTATATACGAAGAATGTCCCTAACCGAGGCTAGGTACTCATTGTCACCTTAGTGGAGTGAGGAAAGCTGTGCCTTCCCCAAGGGCATAACGTCGCGGCATGTAGGTGGAATCGAACCCAGGACCCATGGGTTCCGAGCCAAATGCCCTACCGCTACGCCACATGACGCCACAGAAAGCGTGGAAGAAGGCAAGAATTCTATTTCATAAAGCTACTTCATGAGGGGGTAGGACGAACTCTTACCACTTTGAGCTCCACCAGCTGTGCCCGTGACATAGAGACGTGCTGCTTGAACACCTTCTTCACCACCGCTAAGTTGTCCTCGTACCGACCCAGAGAAAGGTTGCTAGACTCCCGTTTGTTAAAGTCTAACAGCCCCTCGTTAAAGTCCTGCTCACCGTAGTCCTGGTCACTGGACGACTTGTAGGATGCAAACAGACAGTCAATAGAATACTTAGTGTAAAACAAAGCAAAACATCACGTTAAGGTACACCGATGGAAACTGTTTAAGTAGTAAAAATGTTTAACTTATTATAAGAGTCATTGCACGAAAAAACAGGCAAAACCAGGCAGAGGTCGGAAGATGGGGGTCGGCCAAATCGGCTCATCATTTGTATGTGAGATAGGTATGAGGAACTGTTAACAGCCATATTAGTTAAACCCTCCAGCTATTTTTCGTTTTGGGGTTCTGGGACCGGGGGTCTCTGATACCCTCAAAAATCTAACAATTTATGGCTGAATTACTGAAATTACAATGGATACCACGGTAATTCTAATAATGATATGAGACAAAAAATGAAGATGCAACATTGAAATTAAAAGGGTATGCCAGGGGGTTACCAGAACCAATGAAATCAGAATTTTCGTGTTTCTAAATTGTAGTCATTTTTAAGTAGCTTTTTCTCCGTGACGCGGCAATTTTGATACACGCTTTTACCGCTGCTGGAGAGAAGAACAAATGCTGATTCAAAAACAAGCGTCGTATAATTGGGACACGCATAACGCGGGCCGTGAACAAAGGGTCTTTATGTTTTCGGGTTTTGGACCATGATAAATTAGGTAACAACGTCTGACCTTGGTCGGCTGGTGGTCAGAGGAATGTCGGGGGAAGGTCCTAAATGTGTGATAGGCGCATTAACTAACTAAAGGTGGAAAACGCTTGAGTAGGAATGACATACCCTAGAAGAGTTTTGTGTTTGGGTTTCAGACTTGCCGCCGGTACCTCCAGACGCCGCACTAAGGAAGCTCTTCTTCTCAGATTTCCCCAGAGACTGAGTTTTCTTGTGGTCCTGCAAATATACAATAACATTGATCACAGAGAGAAATTGTCAAAATGTAATACAAATACGAGGGTAGTTATAAAAACAAAGATTTCCAAATTATTGTAGGAAACTTTAGATGGTGACAAAATATATCTCCATGGATCACATTTTGAACACTGGACAATTTCTGTTTAAGACGCTATAAGATAAAAGAAGGTAATGAAATGGAGCCAGAGAGAGGTCTTGTAGACGTGGACTGTTTCTTACAACTTTTCTTGACTCATTTTCCTTTGAACGATTTGATTTGATTTGATTTATTAGGCTGATAACACATATGTATGCAGTCAGGACTGCCCAACTAGCCGGAGGCTATTATAAAGGATTAGCCCTCACAACAATAACATAAACAATTCGGAACAGTTAACAGTGTCAGTTACAATTCAGATAAACATACTAACAGATGTTGCGGCCAAACGTTAACAAGCTAGGATATCCGGCCTAGTCGTCGTGCGTTTACTACAATTACATTTATATGTCAGGTTAATATACTATTACATAACAGATGTTGTGCACTATATTTACATTGTCAATACAATTCTATTGAACTCGTGCAGTTTTACTCGACGAGAAACGACATACAGCATACATACTTAAAATATAGTTTTTACAAAACGTAGAAGACTAATAGCTCTGTTATAACACGATGTGGAAAAACGTGGCTGTCTCCAAATTTGTTTCTTTTTACCTCTTTTATTTACATCATGCTCTGAAGATTAATTATACAAGAGATACGTTCAGTACTGCATATTACTTCATCTATGATACCTACACGATGACATTCATCAAGCACGCCACCAAACACTCTACATATATGGTGTTTAGGGAGAAGAAAAAATTCCAAAACGAAACATGATTATGACGATTTTGAAGCTGTTTTTGTGAACGTATGGTACATTATGAACTAGTCTTAGAGTTAAGTGCATGTACCTTTTCATCGTACGCTGTTAAGTTAATGTCACAATACTTGATCTGCCACGTTCCTTCTTTCTTGTTGCTGTCTGTAACACGTTTCCTATTGGAAAATGAAAAAAAAGAAAAGCATGAAAAGACACAGGCACCATTTTTCTAAAACCTTGGTCATTAATTATTCCAATGAAGACTGCAGAGGTCGTTGAAATTTGATCTCTGTATAACCCTTTTGTTGAAAGTTGAACATTTTGCTATGATTACTTCCAACACAGATGAACATTCAAAATATTGTAAATCCTGTTGTTGGTATAAACAAGAGCTCATTGGTTTAAACTTACGTATGTAAAATTTAACGACATGAAATGCACGATCTATAATGTTGGGTATGTGCCTGCAAAGACAAAAGGTTTGATAGGTGGTAGCTTATGATAGTTACGGTTGCGTAGATTAGGCCATGTTGATTTGATTATATGGATGACATCCGCGCGCGCATGAATTTTCGGCCGTTTCAAAAAAGAAAAGTTTTCAACCATACTGTAAATCGTACAAAACAGTTGCAAAATGAGCAAAAATATACCGTAAGTTACAAAAAAACCATACCAATGTCGTAGAATGCCAAGATCAAACGAAAAAAGACGCAATTGTAAAGAAATGAACTTGAAGACTAGATTATTCGCCAAACCATATTCTGTCCAATTTGTTCAACCCTCATGACCACGTAGATTTCATAATGAAAACTTTTTTTTGCAAAACGTTTTTTTATTCGCACGCGCGCATCAATTTTGGGGTTCTCGGAGGATGTCATCCATATAATCAAATCAACATGGCCTTATTTAGAGTAGAGTGCTGGTCTTTAACTCTTGTCCTGCTGGCAATTTTTACACAATATTTTCAAATAATTCCATGTCTTAATCAGGTCATAGACGCCTGATTTCTTTGCTCTGTGGTGGCGATCAACCCAACTTCCGCATTCGTTACGTTTCGCTGCGGTGTGATCCGTCAAATACACCCAAATCGTACATATACAGGGCGCTATATAGATGGTACTGTATGTTGAGCCCATAGATATATGGGCCCAGCAGGACAAGGGTTTTAATAAGGTTTAACCATGTTTACCTGACGTAAACACCGATCCCTGAAGCCAGGATGAGAACCACACCCAGCGCTGAAAGGCCTGTACGCAAGAGAGATGCTTGGAAATCATCTGTCATATGGCAATTCCATGGCTATAATTTTTTATTTTAAACAATTTTTATAATATACTGACCTGACGAAAAAAATACTTGTAATTGGTGTACTATTTATACGATTTCTATCACCCAAAAATTATCTGGACCTATTTATATGCACTGCACACCTTTAGTTACTGAACTGAACTGTGCATAACATAGAAAAGCCTAATTATTTTAGTGCTTGAAGTTATGTAGGGATATGGGCAATGGCAATGACTTTAGAGTTGTATTTTTGTTTGTAGACAGCTTGATTGCTAACTTTTTCTGTGGGTCATAACGCAAAACCTTCACAGTTTTCCTTATGCTGAGGTCACATTTCCCAACCGGGGCCCGGCCGGGCAGCTTTCGGGAACGAAAAGTACTATAACAAATGACAACAACAAAAAAATAAAAGAGAATCATGAGTACTATCTGTATATATTCCTGATAAGAATCATTAACTTTTCGTTCATGCATATGCAAACAGCCCGGCCGGGGTCCAGATTTGAATTGTGACCTCAGCATTACCATAGACCAGCTGTGTCATCTTCTTTTTATCTTCCTCCTCGCGGATGTCTTGTTGAGAGGCGCACTGCTCGTTCATGTAGCCGCACTCCCTGAAGCCCGTGGGCGCGTTAGTCGTCCCGTCTGCCCACACGATGTGTTTGACGAACACCAGCTCCTGTAAGAGGTCATCACTGACCTATGAGTACAGACACTGTTGGCGCATCTGACCTGTATACCTGTGTTGCTACGTAGAGCGCGGTCACCAGCAACTGAATAGCTAATTGCAAATATATTACACAAGGTGAATTACTACATTAAAATTTATTTTATTTTCCGTCATTTTTATACAGGGTGGCCCATTAAGTGATTGCACTTCTTTTCAAGTCAAGTCAAGTCAAAGTTTATTGCACAACGATTGTCACGGATATAATGTATGGCAAATAATAAAGTTACTAGTTGGTATGAGTCTATCATAATGCTATGGGGCCCTGTTTTACACAACAAAATAAAACAATCATATGCAAATTGGGATACAATAAATAAAGATAATGGCAATAATAATAAAGAAAAAACAGTAAGTAACAAATAACATGGATAAATAATGATAATAACAGAACGTACAAATTTTCCAGTCCAGTCATTGTCCAGTCCAATCTTTGATTGTGGGGGTCGTGTGGCGCGACGGTGTTCGAATCAGAACCAACAGGTCCTGCCACATACGTGATAGATCAGGTGTTTATATTAGGACTAGAGTTAGGGTTAGGGCTGGGATCATTGTCCAGGACTACAGTTAAACTTACGCTTGGGGTTAAGTTTAGTCTCCCACATTACAACCAACCCCCTTCTGCTCCTTGTCTCAGGTATATTGGAAACCCCCAAGTAGAGTCGAAGTGATGCATTTGGCAGGATCATGTATTTGGCATTACATTGGGTTCAAATAGAATTTGTTCCCTTAGGAAATTCCGTTTGACAAGAATTTCCTCACTTCGCACAGGTGAGAATGAGTATTGTATTGATAACTTGATGTAACAAACAAAAATAAAAACTTTCTTGTGGAGAGGTAGCCATGTCAAACGCAGATCTGGTATCTACATGTACATCTGTTTCGGTATAGTCGGTATGTATAACCGCCCTTCGGCGTAACACCAGCTTCACAGGCACTCAACTCGGCGGCAGCTAGCTACATCACACCGAACGACTTGTTACACTCAGTCTTTGCACATTTTATTGCAGGAGTTGTTTAAAGCTTTCTAGTGATGATGCCCCTACTGTGCATGGTGGCAACGAGTTCCACTCTACGATGGTCTTGGAAAAGTTTTTGAACACCTCAATTCTTGCTGTATCGTGCTGTGTTGGTAAAGCAATATTCAATATATACATCATTATCATCATTTTTCCTCCGGATTATAAATCCGGTGAGGTACATTTGGTAAAGTTATTCCAGTAAGTCCTATCCCTCATAGCGGATACTAATGCAGGCCCTGCGAGACCAGTCTCTCTCTCTAGCATAGACAAAAGTGTATCATAAGACCGTCCCACTCAACGTCCCCCAGTGGAAAGCCACTGTACTAGTCTACCAGCTGGTTCGTTACTACGAACAACATGTCCTGCCAGGGCAAGTCTACGTCGTCGGACTACAGATGAAATGGGCGGGAGAGTTGTTTGTTTGTTAGATGTTGTCTCCGCGAAACATTATACACTGTTCTTAACATTCTTTTATGTACATGTACATGGCAATATTTAATACATGACAAAGTCCTGTTCTGCAGTTATTTCTAGATAACTAGTGTTTCTAGTCCAACCTCTGTTCCGGTGGGTCTAGCGTCGTATTGCGCCACGACGTCGAACGTTCCGCTCGGGTCCATGTCCCAGATAAAGAACTCAGGCTCACGGTCAGCACGGCCGTCAAGGATCACAGTACCGGACATTCCTATTATTGGGTACAATTGATAATTATCACCATGATAGCGATTATGGTGATGATAAGAATACTAGTAACTAACATTGATGCTGCTGTTCATGATAATGATAGCAATGGTGATGATAATGATAATAGTAATGGTAATGATATCATCGTATGTATGTTATCAGTATCTGTAAAGCCGGTATAACCGCCTTTCGGCGTACCACACCAGCTTATGATAATGATAGTGACAGTGCTGTAAGAATAGGTTTGTTTATGACTTTATCTTCCACCTCCTATTTTGAGAAGATATTGCAGCTACTGCACATACATATTTTCATTTGGATGTGTCTGTGTGTGTTTGATGTACGTACAACAGGTACTAGGTTGCTTAGGAATTCAACGTTCCTTAGTTGAAAATCCATAAACTTAAGGCGTTCTGAAGTTATGCTGACTACAAAAGTGCGGAAACACAAACACACAGACACTCAGACACACCAAAAAAATACCTTCATTTTTCATGGAGGTAATAAATGAAAATTCGTTAAAAACCACTACTGACCTTCAAAGGCTTTCTTCCTGGCGTGTCGCATGAAGGCCTCCCCGTCCCTGGGGTCCTCTCCTGTCTGCAGGGTCTGGTTCATCACTATGGCGTACAGCATCACGGCGTCGTGCAGGAAGGGAGAGTAGGCACTTCCCTGTCAAAAATTACAAACAAACAAACAAACAAACAAACAAACAAACAAACGAATGATTGTGACTAAAACACGTTATGAATTACAAATGGATGATAGAGAACCTAAATAATGTGATTGAAATGAATACTGAATGACAAAAAATTAACGGTTCTCAGTGGCCAATGTGCACATGTTGTCACATTGGCGCACCGAATCCGTAGTGTGTTTTTGGCACACAGATTAGACAGATTAGCCTAAGAGGCTCGGTGGGCGTCACTCAACCGTATAGGTGGCGAAGTCGTGTAAAGTGCCTTTCCCACCGTCGGGCAACGATGAGTATCGAACCCTGCACCTCTCGGTTCCGAGCCCAACGCTCTAACTGTTGCGCCACCGACGCCACTACACTGAATGACAACAAAGTACTTGATAGAGGACTTCGACTACCCAAAACAATACTTCTACTCTCGGAAGTAAAGAGATACCATCAGTAGAATGTATACTGCACGATGCAATAAACAGCTTTATTCTCGTCATATGAAACATTTTAGTAGGAAAATAGAATAATATATTAAGTACCTTCAGTCCTCTCTGTAGACTGTCTGTGAAGTTCCACGGCGGAGCGGCCATTCGTTTCACGACCTTCTTTCGGAAATCATCGACTTCAGGTCCGTCTGGAAACACCATGCGTACCTTTGTATCAAGAAAAACAAGATTTGATTTATTGTGGCATGGACGGATGACAGGCATAGACTACACACGTTTTATCATGGAAAAACTTCAGTCTCTCGATTGATGATAACAAGTTACTTTAAGTACGATATCAATAAACTGTTGTACTTGCTCGAATGAGTCTGGTTCAAACCACTCGATCACAAACTTTGACATTTAACAATCAACCTATAAAGATATGTATACATGAGTAATATGAGCCTCCTACTATGACTAGAATATTTAATAATTCATCTGTATAGAATGATGAAAATGCTTCATTACAACGTTTGAATATTCACAATGTGTTAGTTTATGTCAACAACTTAAACATTTCATTTAACAAAGAAACGTGCTAAAATGTTGGCAAAAAATTCACTTCCCCTGCATAATGTAAGATCAAGTGGTCAAATATTCTGATAACTGACCACATGATTATCCAGCAGTTGTCATACTTTCTTTGCAGATTAGACGTACGGTGCCATTACTAATATAGATTTTTTTTTGGAAATTCATGCCCGAGGGCTGATTGCAAGAACATCATAACAAAGAAACAGTAAAAACTAGAGTTCGGAGGGCTCATACCTTCGACAGTGTGATATTGTTTTGGTGGGTGTTGCTAACGGGTGTGGCTTGTCTAGTAACTAGTAACAGTCCTCGTTCCAAAGCTACTGGCCCTCGGTTAAACATTTTCAAACATTAGAAGTTCCTTGGATAAATATTCTGTCGCCTAGAATAGTTCTAAACTAAGGAAAAAAACACAATTAGGAATGAAGACTCGAAGAGTGCCTTAAACAATCCTTTATTCACCAACATTTTAAAACAACATTTTCCAACCTCATCAAAGTTTGCTTGTACTCGATAGTCAAAATGCAGTTGTAATTTAAAAGCCTACTGTGAAAGTTTACCTGTAATTGAACAGTCAAAATGCAGTGGCTCAAACCTGCAAACATATCTAAAAAATATGATACATATATATATAAGAAATAGTGTACACCGGGAGCAACCTATTTTATCTTTATTTACTAAATAATATATTGATGGAGTACAGTGTGTGTAGACAAACCTGTAAGGTACAGTACTAATGCTGATGATAGAAAACTGACTTTCTGAATTCATAATATTATCGGAAATAGTTCATGCATTGTAAAACAAATGTAGGAAATTGTGACTATTTATCTCACTTTACATGGAAAAACCTCAAAGCAGTAAGGAACGACAAAGCTTGAGAAACGACCAAATGACCGTCGTGAGTTAGCGTCAGTCCCGTTGGACATTTTAGTTCCTCCTCTGTCAGCACGTGCCTGATAAACGCGCCGTCCCGACTGAACAGGGAAACACGATGGTTGCCGCAGTCAGCCAAGATGATGTCCTCGCTGTCCGTGATGGCACAGTAGGGGCGGTACAGTTGACCAGGTCCTGAGCCATGTGAACCGCACGTGAAGAGATGGCGACCGGTAGAGTCAAATATCTTCATGTTGTTGTTGTAAAAGTCACTGACGATGATCTGGTTGCTGCTGTTGACGGTCACATGGAGGAGGGAACCCAATTGCTGCTGACCTTGACCTTTGTCCCCGAACTTCAGCATGACGTCACCGCTGGGACTGAGGACGAAAACTTGGTGCCCGATAGTGACGATGATGCGTCCCGAACAGTCAACAGCGACGCCTGCCGTAGTTTGACCTGTCTCTGCAGCCTCTGTCACCTGGATGACGCGTGACTTCCTCCCCTGTTTGTCCAGAACGTGAATCTTGTGTCCGTCTCCTGTCACCAATAGCTCGCCGTTTGTCAGTGCCGCCACGCACGTGCACCGAGGCTTGAACCTCAGATCGACCTTCTTCTTGAAAGAGCCATCTTTGTCCAGAAACTGCAGCCGTGAGTTATCACGATCAGTCACGACAATGTCTCCCTCTGCGGTGACAGCAAGTGATGTCGGTAAGTCAAACTGACCATCTCCACTGCCTCTCCGCCCAACAGTTTTGACGTGTTTCGGACTCACGCCGCCATTGCCGATCGCCACGTCCGGTCGCATCAGCGTAGTTTCAGTGGGGCTCAAGGGTGCTCTCACCTGGTCTCCGTCCGCGGTAACTTGACCGATTTGCAGGTCTTGAACCGTTACAACTTTGTGAGACTTGGTGGCTTTAAACCGACGGTGGGTATTGTTACAGGTCTGGCACAGATATTCGGTGCACTCCACGCAGTAAAACTGAGCCGAGTTGCCGACTTCACAGACCGTACAGGGGACCCCATCCTCCCGCGCCTCGGGCGTTTTTCCTGCCGGCTGTTGTTGCAGAATGTCGCGCAGTTTGCCGACGAGGAAGTTGAACTTCAGCCCCTGGACGCCATTCTGGGGGAGGGGTACGTCCTGTCGGCATGTCGGACAGTCCAGTTTCCCTACCGGCTCTGCGGCCAGGAGCTTCTCCAAACACGGCTGGCAGAAGGTGTGAAGACACGGCAGCATCTTAGGCTGCCTGAAGTCCTCCAAACAGACCTGGCAGACGAGAAATTCGTCGGCAATGTCGCTGATTGCGTTGGACGCCATCTTTACCTAGGGACGTGTTTGTACACACTTACTGAAACCTCAAAAAGGGTAACGGTAATATTTGTGATCGCTTTATTGACTTTTACCTCGTGATTGTTTGTAGTTTGTTACACGTAAAAGCTGAAATAGGGAAGTTGTTACATTCAGAAACGACCACTTCTCCATCATGGGTCCCCACCAGCTCGGCTTGATAATTCAGTTTCTAGCATTGGTTAATATTGATAATCTGTAAAGTACAGTACCACTTAAATGCAATAGAAATCACTGTTTATACAGTAAAAACTAGAGTTCGAAGGGCTCGTACCTTCCACAGTGTGATATTGTTTTGGTGGGTGTTGTGCGTGTGTATAGTGTAGGTTTTTTGAAGATGATTATCGTAGTTATAGTGGTCAGAGAGTCTTTTTGTGAACGAAGCAATATACTATTTACCTAGCCTGTACCATGTCTTTCTACCGAAATACGGACCGTAGAATTCGGCAAAAAGGAGAGGAGAATTGGCCTCCGATGCGCAGCAATCCAAACTTCAAAACAGCAAAAACTCCTTCAACTAATTTTCTTCTATACAGCCAGCGTAGTTGAAGCGTGCGGTGTCCAATACGGGTAATGTTATTTCAACAAACAACTCTTCACCGGTACCCTGGCTGTGTTGTTGTTAGCTTAAGTTAGTTTACCTTGGCTAGTGTTGTTAGCTTAACCAAATACATAAAGGGACAGAGATTTAAAGTGCCTGCACTTAAAGATGTGCACACAAAATGTGCACACTGCAGTGTCGTACGGACCTTCCACGATGCTTCCACGAACTGAAGTGATATATGAATCTGTAGATCTCAATATGATAATTTGTATTTCCCTACTATTAATGATTATATTGTAAACAAACATCAGAATTCAGCCCTGTATGCCAAGGCTGCGAGTAATGTTGTTAATATGTTGATACAAATAAACCAATAAATAATATTGTTGGGTTTGATTTCTTTTCCGTGTACAGTGGAAATGGCTGACAGTTTGCGAGATATGTCAATTGGATCAAATTTTGTATCTACCCTTTTTTACCCTTTTTTTTCTAACTCCGAGCTTACATATGGCTGATCTAACATTGAAGTCTTTGATCTGAAGATAACGTTCCATATTGTATATCATATGAAATGAGGACTTTTCATTGTTCAATGTCATATGGTTATACAATGGCATTATGTTATATTGGCGTCTTCTCTTTGTTATGAATATATCTCAGCCTATGGCTACCGTGTATAATCCTCCCAAATATACAATTTATTTATTTATTATGTTTACCGAAGGAAAACATATTGTTATTTCACTCCATACTTCAGTATGGAGTGAAATACTGCTTTTTCTGATGTTTCTTCTCCTCCTCCTTCTTCTTCTCCTGCCACTTCTTTAAATTGATTCAACTCCTACATTTTTGGGCGAAATTACCTGTAATTTCGTATAGAGGTAGAGTGGGTAAATACCCTTAGGTGTTTTTAAATTTTTTTTGTATACAAGCTTTTACAATCGTTTTATTTGCTTTTTAGTGGTCCCCATAGGGAAGTACTGCGGGGGCGTACGCGCGTGACGTAATAAGAAAGGAATTCGGGGGAAGCCCCAAATATGGGCATACAAGCAGTTGTGGTCATGTTTGCAGATGTGGCTGTTGATTGGCTGTTGGCTAATTAATTTATTTACTACCATTTTCACGTACAATAGGGGGATTACCAGCGCGGCTGGTCCACGCGGTCTCGGCCGTGGGCCATTACTATTTGATACTCTGATATTGGATACCGATTCGTGTGATTCCTATAAACATTTCACCTAACTACGAACTAGTTGGAAGAATTATAGCTGCATGGATGCCTGTATATGATTTTAACAAACACTGAAAATCTGACGCAAAAACTGGCAGATATTTTGCTCTTCTCTGTTGGAACAACGCAAGCGGGAGGTCAATGACCTGCGCCCCGCGAGTACTGTAAACAACGGTACGTAATGTGTATCGTCGGCGCACGCGCGCGCGCCACGGTATCAACAATTTTCCACAATCTTCACCGACTAGTACCATATATTCTGTTATCGATTTCTGAAGAATCACCAAAATTGTAGAGTGTACAGGCGTTCATTTGTTGTTGCTGAGAACATCGCAAGACGGCTTCCTGGCAAATTTTCCTAAAGCGAGCGTTGAGGGCTTGCATGCCCGACAGTTTTCAAAGATTGGACAGGGAGCCGGCGGCTTCTGCTAGCCGGATAGATAGTTACGTTACATCAAGGTACCGGTGGTTCAAAAGCGAACCTGATAAAGAAGGAAATCTCCTAGAAAGTCCCTTACTAGTACTTGAAGCGATCGTTACCGCCATGTTGTTCACTTTATATGACATACAATGCAGATAGTAATGGAAACGCGTCCAGATAGCTCGGTTGGTAACGCGCAGGGCTGCAAGTCCAGACATTGCAAGTTCGAACCCCGGTACACTGGATATTTTTAATTACCCTTTTTACAATTTTTAACAATTTTAACATTTTTAACAATTTCAACAATTTTAACCATTTTACATTTTAACAATTTCAACATTTAATTTTAACATTTTCGTTTTAATATCCATTGCTTTGATTTAACATTCCAAAACTGATTGTTCTTACTCAAGAATTTCAATAACTTCGAATGTTAGTCTTTTGTATTTTTTCAACATAGAAACCAAAATCACTTTGATGTTGTCACAAAAGTAACATCTGTGCGCGCATCGGTTTTCGTTCATTTAAAAACTACAAGTACAAAACATCTGGAAACTAAGCAAACATACTCAGTAAATTGATTGCTGTAATTCCCGATTTTTTTTCACTGTACCGCAACGCAAGCGGGGGGTCAATGTTCACGGTTTTCACTGTCACCTCTGTATTGTGAACTTATCATTACAGTTAGGAAATAATTCCTGGACTTTCTTTTTCCTGCAACTGTCACCACCGTGAATATATAGTTCCGTGAACATGTCCATTTTTCTCAGGCCGTGAAAATTTTGCTTCCGTTAGTAGTAGTTACAATCTCGTCAAAAGTGTAAAGTAAAGCTGTCGAGATTTAAAGTGCGTGTCGTTGTATCTTTGTAAAAAAAAAGGGAGATAATTGCCAAGTGCCAGTTTTGTAAATACCTGTCGAGATTCAAACAGCTTGTCCTTGTATAATTGCAGTATGATTTATTTAGAATCTCTCATTTTTGTTTGGGGAAGGATATGGAGTGAAATTCCTACATTTGCTCCGAAGCAAATGTTGGCCTTTCTAGTTTTTATTCAGTTTCTTCCTCTTCTTCTTCTCCAAACAGTGACCTCTGACCTGACCAATGACATGATTTGTTGACATCTGTCACCAGCATGGTGACTAGTGTTGGGTTACATAATGTTGCAATTTCATGGTCTGCTCTGCTCCTGTCACCATATGTAGGTGAATGTGTTTGAGTAAGAATTAACAGAGCAGACAATGTCCGAAAGTAGGCATTATGCATTTGCTTTGCAAATGTTACTTCTCTAGTTTATTCATTCTCCAAGAAGCACGTGTAAACCTACGTTGAGTACGCTGCCGTAAGCTTGTTTGGCGTCTTCATCTCTGTCATCGCCGGCTCTCCACGGCTCTCCCAGCTGCCCCTCGAGAGTCCACGTCACGGCGTTGATGAACACGAACTCCCCGTTAGTCATGCCGAGATCGTAGGCGTGCAGCATGACACGGCGCTCCGTCGCTTTGTCGTGGTGACACATGCAGATGACTGTGGAACAACCACGCGAAGCACGTAAGCCACGTAAGCCGCTTGTTTACTTTGCATTTTTTTTATTGAAACATACAGTGACAAGACGTGTTGTCGACACACTCAAGTTACACTTATATTCATGTCGCCACCAGACAATACGTAATACAAGCAAGCAAAGCACGAGTTATCGTATAGAAACTGAATACAATAATTAATCAATGAACAAGTGAAACAAGTAGATAAATACTGACAGGATTGGTTAAGATATTACAAAAACGATTTGATTCTAACAAAAATGTCTGTACATGTAGTAGTATTTGAGTATTGTACATTGTTGACAGAAAAGAAGAACCTCTTAAAAGTAAATGTACCAGGATATCATTTAAGTCAGTAATAAAGCCGATCAGTGTTTTGAAGTTGCCAAAAAGGGTATTTCGTTGTTGAGTGTAGTTAGGGCAGCTCACATTTACTTTGTATGATCTGCTTAGAGAGACTCTCTCTTGTTGTTTATCCACAGGCGTTAATGTTGCAGCATACAAACCAACCGTTTAAAGAGAAAGCCTTTACTATAAACTCAGATGACGTAAACTATCAGACTTCGGTCTGCTACTGACAGCCGAAGTGAATAACATCCGGGTGGGTGTTTGGCTACGACATTTACAAGTACATAGAGTTACTCTTCAAGACACTTTGAAACTTAGAAGAAAGAAAAGGGAATAGAAGTATGGTTGCACATAAACAAGTGAGTTACACCTACCTAGCCACAAAATAAAGAATTGACAACATAACAGACTCGCCTTGACCTACTTGTAATTTGTGAGCTCAATACATATACTGTTTTTGTGGACTACAAGTAGGCATTGTCCTGCGGGGCCCATATGTTTATGGGTTGCAAATTCAGTACAATCTATACAGTGCCCTGTACAGTTGTATATGTACGATTTAGGGGTGTTTCTTGTGCAACGTATCACACCGCAGCGAAACGCAGCGAACGTAAAAGCAACTATATGCCACCGCGGAGCAAAAAAAGTTAAGGGTCAGTGACCTGATTAAGCCACCAAATTATTTGAAAATATTATGTAAAAAATGCCAGCAGGACAAGGGTTAAAATTACAGATTTTTTTTAGAACAGTGATATCGGGACACTGCATTTTACTTCAAATGAAGACAGTGGGTGGGGATCTCCTGCACTTACTCTGTCCAGTTTCTTTGATGTCCTTCAGTTGTTCTCTCATCGCCTCGTCCTCCACGATGTCGTACCTGTAGTCTGCAACTACAGTCGCGTTCACCTTCCGCAGACCTGCCTTTACCGATGTCCTGGCCTGGAGGAATATATATATATAGAGAGAGAATGGTTTATTCGCAACCTTTATTATCCCAATTTTACTAAACTTACAGACCAAGAAAAAACTATTCTTCTTTTTTAATTTTCCAAAACCCACTTATTTTAGAAAAGGTGGGACATTACGTCTTCCATGGTCTAAAAAGGAGAAGTCAAACCCCTTAGACATAGTTTTAGACATAGCTATAGCTCTAGACAACTACCTTTTATCATGTAGATTTTAGTTATTTTATACTACGTTTCATTGTTCTTTTATGTTTGTAATCTGCAATTAGCCCCCCGGGCATGAATTTGCAATAAACTTCAATTATAAAAGTTATATACTTCGAACAGTTCACAGCTGTCACACATAAGCAGCTAAGCCTATTTGCACGTAACTGAATTGAGAGTTTTTCAAATTGTGACATAACATAGAAACAATTAGTTATATATTATATAACAATAAAATCATCTTAGATCATTTTTATTATCATCCACTGTATTCTGCGTCTAGAATCGTATGGAAATGTCCTGTAGCCGCATCGTATCATCTTAAATACGAGCTAAAAATTGTATAACTATATATATGGATATTGTTAAAAATTACGTTGTGGTAATAAGAATTTTTCACAATTTTACCCAGTCATATTCTTACATACATGTACATGTGTCAAGATACTGACACATCAATTGTCATGTTCTTTTCTGTTTACTGAAAACTGAACCACTGCGGATTTCGTCATTCAATAAAGTTGTTGCATACATAATCGTTCTTGTCGAATCCAAGAAATTCAATTGTAATGAGTACTCTACAATGATGTTTACCAAAGGAAAACATATTGTTTTAGCTTAGTTTCTTCCTTTTCTTCTTCCGCTCCAAACAAATGAGGTCAATGACCAGGACCAGGCATCTGTCACCATGGTAACAGGCGCTGGGTTACATAATGTTGCATGTACCATGCAGAACCGAGTTGAAGAGTTAGTAGAAATTCTTCAATCAGTGACTGTATTTAAAGGTAAAAACTCGTACCTCCAAATTTTCGGTGTCGACTGTACACCGAAAATGTGGAGGTACGTGTTTTTACATTTAAATACAGTCACTGATTGAAGAATTTCTACTAACTGTTAATTCTACGTGACCGATGAACCTCTTCAACGATGAGTTGAAGAGGGGCTGCATGGCTACCATATATATGATTTTCTTTAAAGTAAGAATAAACAAAGCAGTAGTTTGTTAAGTTGGGCCATGTGAGGATAAACATGATGCATTTGCTTTGCAAATGTTACCTTTCTAGTTGTATAAAGACAAGTTTCCTAGTTTTCAATTTGTATATAGAACATAAAATTTCGTATTCCTTATTAAATTTCGCAAACCGCGCATTATAAGTACCATATGCTATCCTTTTATTATCTAGATTCAACAAATCAATTATCATTACTATGTTATCCGACTTTCCTCAACTGTCTTAAAATTTCTCGCTTTGTTATGTCTGTATTGCGTCTGTATAGTGTAATTCTGCGTGCTATGTTTTCAATAGGAATTCAATGTACAGTCCACAATGAAGTACTGTGTGTGTACTGTACTGTACTGTACTGAGTACTCAGTACCGAGCAGGTTACATATAAATGTAGATATTCACTATCTATTGCAGACAACATATCTATGAAAAGTTACTAAAATGAACGTTGATATGGATACATTATCATTTCCCAAAGCCACATACTTGAGTGCAGAGCCATTCCATGTTCGAAGAGAAAATGACGGCACGTGTCCACCCCCACTCGGCAAACATCAATGCAACAACCTGCAAAGTATTGAAATAAAAAAGATAAAACCAAGCTTGTCTGTTATTCTTCTTTTTTTGCCACCATTGCAAACGAATGATGGGACTAGTTCAGTTCACACTGTATAATCATTATATACATGTACGTACGTTTGCGTTGAGATTTTTTGTTGTCGTATTTTAACTTAAAAGAGACGAAAATGCTTACTACACTCTGTAAATGTACCTTAACGCATACGTAAAATTTGTTAGACTAAAAAACGGAAACTTTACGCATCTTTCAAGATACGCTTCAATATAGGATTTCATGCAGTATCATAGCATCAATAGTTACGTTGACTAATGTTAGACACTCAGTGTCAGGTAAACAATATTAGAACACAAATCAAACTCTTCTACTGGATAGATTACTAATTTTACTACTGGACTTTCAAGTGACATCCGTCACTCTTCTTCAGCGTCACTACATGTACTGAGAGAACAGGTTCACCTTGCCCAGACTGTTAAACTGCAGCAGTAGGCGAATCAGGGTGGTGAAGAGGATTTTATCTTCCAAGGGAATTACTCTATCCATTAGCTACATGTACGCTGTACTCGCTGCGCTCACTCGGTGGTTATAGCAACTGACAAGGCTTTATCACACCATACACATCTCGGAGTGAGTAATCAATTAGCCCTTAATTATTACAGATTACGTTGACTAATGTTAGACATCCAGGTAAAACAATATTCAAAGACAAATCAAACTCTACTACTAGATAGATTACGGAGATGACTTCCGGAAGATTCGAGCGACGTTCGTCACTTCTTGAGCATCACTAAAATCAATGACAGAACAAGTTCACCTTGCCCAGACTGTTGAACGGCAGCAGTAGACGAGTCAGGGTGTTGAAGAGGATTTTATCGTCCATGCGGGGGTCCATGGCTGCCCAGGTGATGGCGGGGATGTTCCAGTATCCAGCCAGGAGCGCGGAGGCGACGCACGCTGGGAACATTCCAACCGAATGAGAACAAAATTAAGAGAAGCCTTCGGTAGTGTATGTTGGACATAAGTATTTATGTTGCTATTTCGTATAGTTTTGTTATGCACAATATTAGTGAATCGACATTTATCTAGTTCGTGGTTTTGAGTTGTGGCTATTTTTATTCGATGCTTGATATAGGGGCATTAATAATTTTACCTCCGTGAAACGGAGGTTCTGTTTTGGGTGTGTCTCCGTTTTTGTCTGTGGACCTGTCTGTGTTTCCACATATTGTGGCTTACGTAAGTTAAAAGAGGGGTTGTGATGCTGAAAGACAAAGCTTAAGGTTGCTTTCAAACCTCCTAGTGGCTTTCTCTGGTCGATTAGTCATGAATAGAAAAACGAGAAAGCAAGAAAAACACGGATGAAGAGGAACAAACGAAAATGTAACAGCCATCCTCATTGATCTCCAATAAAATTTTAAATTTTTCAATTATCTAGGGAAATTCACGCAAGAAAATTACCATGTCCTCTGTGCCCTTCACAGTCAAATCACCTTCAAACTCTATCCATTAGCTAGGCTGTACATTACTTGATGTTGAAGATCAAAGAGACTACTTAAATGCTTTTACACACACGAGTGGATGCTACCCATTATAGACTCATCGTTTGGCAAAAAAAGAGATTATAGTAAGATACGGTCATGACGTCAGCAATCGGATCAAATACTCGGTGATGGTCCATTATCTTTTAATGACCATATTTGTTATAAAATGTGACACGATTCAGGTGTTTTAAGCCACCAATGTTCATGAAAAAGGAGGATTTCAGATTTCAACTAACTAATCTAAGATTTTGGACACCAACTTCAAATACTACTTTGCATGCTAAATGTTAATTTTTAAAGAACTGTATCGGCTTCCTGTAGCAAGAGCTAATGTCTGCTTGAATCGAAATCAATGTACAAAAATATTAAGGGCCACTTCGAAAATTTTTAGGGGCTTTAGTAGACAGCTAAGAAGTAGACAACTAGGAAGTCTTGGGAAGATATTTGTTTTTAGACATAAGAATTCGAAATATTCTTTAAATGTCTGCTTTCAAATCCATTGTTTCGTATATTTACGAACTAGAATTGAACATTGCATACAGACAAGATAAAGTACATAAACATAAGGCCACACCAAGAAAATTTTATGGATGACGTCCGCGCGCGCATTGATTTTGGCATGCTCCTAGAAAAAAAAACAAGAAATTCCGCTTCCTGTAACTATGAACAAAGAGTCACGACAGTGCCGCAATTCATCAGATTGATGTGAAACCCGTAACGCGAAAACAGGACAGGACGACAACTGCTGTTCCACCTGATTTATTGCTGTTTTGATGATGAATAAAAGACTTCTTGCTTGTTACACTGTGTCACCTCATTCAATTTGTGCCCTAACATTTGTCGTCTCATAGTATATTTCTAATCTAGGCATTTTGTTTTTTAGGGCCCTTCTTGTTTTTTTCTCGCCCTCTCGCATTAGATTTAGGGTCTCCAAAGGACGTCATCCATAAAATTTACTTGGTGTGGCCTAAGGGAAAATGGGGAATTTTTTAAAAATGCTGTATTAAAGTACTGTATTAAAATACTGTATTTTCTGGTTAAAGATAGGTACATTTAGTAGGTAACTAATAGATGTATAGGTAATTTGTGATTTATTCTAAAGGATACATGATATGTTTTCGTCATTTATTTCTGTTTCCCGGGTTTATTATTATTTTTTTGCGGTACTTCATGTGTCAGTTATATATTTGCCATGCTTTTTGTTCATTTATAAAACTCAAATAAAGAAAGATAAAAAAAAAGAAGTAAGAATAAAGATGTATTTGGTATATCAGGTGTGCTGTGCTATTGTTTGGACCCTACCATCGTTACACGGGGGACACAGGATGGCGTCGACGTGTTCGTCCGTGTAGAGTTCCACCGTCCGACCGGCAGCCGTCACCGCGTTACAGCCAGAGTCGCGCCACACTAGTCTGTGGAAACAGACGTGGACAAAAGTGCAAAATAACATCACACTTGCAGGTTGAATTGTTAATACATCAGGGAATGTTTATGTCTTGGAAACTGTACTTTTAAAGTTTAAAGGGTAATTTCAGTCTCTGCTCTCTCCCTCTATCTCTGACACTCAGTCTGTCATTCTTCCTATATCTCAATCACTGTGTGTGTGTGTGTGTGTGTGTGTGTGTTTGTGTCTGTCTTTCTGTCTTCATCTCTCTCGGTCACTGTCTTTCTCTTTCCTTGTCTTTCCCTTTATCTGTTTCTTTCTCTTTCTCTCTCAACTGTCAACTGTTAGAAAGCGTTGAGGATGAATATCATTTTCTAATGTATTGTCCACCCTATACGACAGAAATACGAAAATTATTGATAAATATGATAACATGTAAATCTAGCAAACCTCTGCCAAACATAAACACAGGCATTTTCAATCTACTTATATGTACAATTATGCAGTACACATAGTAAATATATTATGTAGTGGTTTACAATCATCATCATCGGTTTACAATAGAGAAAATGTATTGTAACAGACAGAAATATTTAACGAACACCAATACGCCATTTACGTCCATATTCCTAGTCATCGTTTTTAGAATAGACTTGTATATATTATTATGGAATTAATTGCCTTGTAACTGTTGCTATACATTGTACCGTGTGCAATTGTTGGGTATCCGCTTACTTAGACCAAGACTTATTTCCTCCGCTATTTGATATTAACTTTTTGATATCCACTATTTACATATACAGTTGCCAGGATATTTGCACGCATATCATTACTAGCTCTAGAGTTACAGAGAGATCCAGCTATTCTATGAGCACATAGAGAAACCGCCGGAAAAAAAACTTTTTAAAATTGACTCGGGTGGATTTGGTGCCTGATTATTCTCCACGTCTTCTTACGTTCATTCAAATTTTAATTGTAAAATTTGCTAGGAATTTGTTTAACTCAGAAGAATACCGAGATTGGTTACCCAATTAGGTAATATCAGAGGTAGGATATAACGAGACAAAGAAATCAACTCGACCAATTGCCACTACTCACGCAGCGGTATAGAAACAGCCCAATTCCATTTTTAACCATTTTTGCTACATAACAGTGTGTAGGGGAATCCCTCAATGATGTATAATATAAATTGTATTTGTAAGTAATTACCTCCATGACATGTCATGGGGGTTATATTTTCAGTTGCGTGAGTCTGTCAGTCTGTTAGTCAACAAAATAACTCAAGAACGGCTGGATGTTATGCATGTGTCATAGACTGTGCCCTGTAATAACAGTACTTGAACACAAATTTCACCGTGAACATGCTAAAACGTCTGCTGCAGATGACGACAAGGTACTCTACATTATCTCTGCGTGCCCTCTCTTTGATCGCTGCATATGACATTGACAGTGGCGCGACAGAGCTACAAATGTAGTATCGTAGGACGGGAAACAGTCAAACAACGTACACCCAATATGCACTTATAAGAAGAACACACAGAAGACATAACATGTAAAACCTGTTCCTCATGCATATCATTTTAATCCAGAGAATAATAAACGGCATCTTGTCAAGGCACAATTAATATTTTTTTCATTGGTAATTTTGCAGCTGACAATTTCTACCTATGGACCTATGCATGTGGAAATCCCACGTGTCTTACATTAAGGACACGTTAGCTTGCTGATTCGAAATAATACAATGTCAATAACCGTTTGAATTGTGTTATAATGTACTAGTATTATGCAATATGTTTAGTAAATGCTTATATATGGTCGATTATGATGTTAATGTTTTCCTTTATTTTTCATAATTTACAAATGTTCGGGATGAGAGCTATAAAGTCCACATACACTACCTGTATGTGGAAAATTATTGATAAAAAAAATAAATAAGCAATATTTATAGTAAAATCCGCAGTGTTGCCGAACTAGAGCGGTACCTCTGGATATCTCGATAGAGAGTTCAACATAAGAAACATAAAAAAGAAACCCTACAAATGCAAGAATACAAAACGTACAATAGAGAATAACCGACAACAGATAACCTAAAGATACTGTTGACATAAACCAGATAATCTGCGAAGGGCACGGGAAATGTCTGATAATGATAATGACATAGAAAAAAAAATTGAAGTAAGGAAGAAATTGAATGAATAGTAATGTAGTTTGTCTAGTACGCTCAATGGGAACATAATCAGAATGTTAGTATTTTTGTTAAAAATATGATAATGAAACCGTAAGGAAAAGGTGCACAACAATACTGGGTGATACATCATTTCAATCTAAAACTGGGCTTTTCAAATTTTTAATGTGTATCTTTCAAGCCCATTCAAATAATTCATATACAAAATGCACAAGATAGATCAGAAACATTTACAAAGTTAAGAACAATATTATTTTGTTTGATAAGATAAGGTGACGTCTGCTGTAAGGCGCGGTCACATTTCTCAACCCGGGGCCCGGCCGGGCAGTCGTATGAAACGAATATTATGACAGCAAAACAAAAAAAAAGTTTTGGAAAATTAATCACGAGCACTTTTTGTGTATACTCTTAATACAAATTGTTTATTTTTCGTTCACGCAAACAACCCGGCCGGGCCCCGGCTTGAAAATATGACCGTGCATTTAAGTATAGTAAAAATATAGATTCCTAACCTTATCGTATGCCCGGGTAGAAGCGAGGAGTCCAACATGACCGTCTCCGCGGCCAGACTGGCCGCCCCTGCCGTCGTCTCCCACGCCATTCTCCCCAGCAGCTCATCGGACTGAGGCAGCAACAGCCCTAGACGGAACTCCCGGGCGTCAACATAGCCAAAACACACCAGCACAGCCAACAGACGAACGTGTACATTTGTAGCGAGAGAAAACATTGCTTTCAATAGCTTGGTAACGTTGACGTAGGGAAAAAAAGGAGCCAAGGACACCCAGGCGCCTGCACGCACCGAAGCGGCGTGTGAGTGAATTTGGGGAGTACGCGATGCTTTATTCCATTCACCAGTTTCCCATCCCCAGAATGCAACGCGAAAACAGGGGGTCTAAACCTCATTTGCATAGGACAGGAAGGCATCGAAATGATCCTGGTGACGTTAAACAGCTTGTTTTTCAGTGTGTTTTGAGGTTAATTAAATTACTATGGGTTGAATCTGACAACAAATAGAGAATTAATTTTTTGGAATGAATTGTTTGTAATGTTATACTGGTAACGATATATGATGCTGTAACGTTACAAACCACATGTTCCATGTTGAAAAGAACACAAAAACTAACTTCATTTTCAATTTGTTTTCAGATTCGACCCACAGTAATTTAATTAATGTTGAGCATAACATGCCCCAACACCTCAAAACACAGTGAAAAACAAGCTGTTTAACGTCACCAGGATCATTCCGATGCCTTCCTGTCCTATGCAAATGAGGTTGAGCCCCTTGTTTTCGCTAAGCATTCTGGGGATAGGAAACTAGTGAATGTGAGATTAACTAGGGCGGAAAGAAGTTATACCTTGATTTGCGTGACCGGCCTAAATTATGTTGACATGTATTGTACCAAGGCATTATAATGTAGAACGTCAGTCCTATCCAACTAAAACCATTGCAGTTAACTACCTAATCGATAAGCGTCGCTGTTCATAGAGTTCAGAATAAACAATGCATTCAGAGATATGTTACCCATAACAGATTCATTGCAATTATTGACGAAAATGAGCTTTAATTCAAGTATTCCTACAAATAGGGAAAGAGAAAATGGTTACTATCACATCAGTAAGAATTTTATTGCCTATCGTTGATTTTCTGTCTGTAATAAAAATTTTCCTCTAGTGAGTTTAACTTAAATAGACCTGTCCTTAGTGCTGAAACCTCCATCGTTTTAAAAATCAGTAGTGTTCTCAATAGTTGTGCCAGGCGTTTTGTAGGGTTTATCTTTAGTTTTAAGTCCATCCTTTTTTTTCGACCACGGCTATATCTATGCATAATCATTAACTTCCTGAAAAGAACCTATTTTGGTGGCACATTTTGGTGGCATAGTTTTCGTCTTTTGGAAATACTTCCTAGTATAAGTGCGCGACGGCGTCATAAGGAATGTGGAATGGAGCCTTCTGATTGGTCAACGTCACCTGGCTATATGATAATGATAATAATAATAATAATAACTGGGCTTAACGGGGCCTTGTAGCGAGGGTATCCTTGTCGCATGGTTGCCCAAACATATGCGTTTTGCGTGTGATTGCACCATCCACACCATTGGTGATCAACAATATCAGATTATTATTTATTTATTAAAATTCACCACATACACATGTACATGGAAGGCATGGTGAAACCTAAGTACACCTTTGGAAGGACACCATGCCGACAAACAAATAGACAATGTGCATTAAAAAATACAAAACAGTGTTATATACATGAACATGACAAATTAAAACACAAAATAATTAAGGGTTAATGATCCGCCCCGAGGTGAATATGGTGTGATAAAGCCTTGTCAGTTGCTATAATCACCGAATTAAGCCACCAAGTGAGCGCAGCGAACGAGGTGGCTTTGTGAGGTAGTTATAGCAACTGACAAGCCTTCATTACACCATATAGCTTACACGATAGCCTATCCAAACTGATGCATCACAATGTACAATTTACCCCTTGCACATGCTTAATAGAACATAGACATAGTTCCATCTGGAGTCACCTGAGGTCACTGGGTAGAGGTCACGTTCTATCTGGGTCATAGGCAGGGAACAGGTGTTCTTATGGGACTCACCTGAGGTCATTGGAACACAACTTAAGATATTTTGTAATTTTTTAGAACTAGAGCCGTGTTCTATAGTATTGGGTCACCTGAGGTCATATGCGGGTGATTATTGGGTTGTTTAATGTATGGATTGGGATGAATAAATTCCCGATTTTGACTCTATTTGTGACATTACGGCGTCATAAGGAATGTGGAATGGAGCTTTCTGATTGGTCAACGTCACCTGGCTATATGATAATGATA